CCTTGGTTTATTTATTTATTTATTTATTTATTTTTTCTTCTGCGCTTTGAGCCTTAATTTGACCCCCTGAACATTGATGAAAAGTTGTGAAATTTTGCCCAAAATTCAAAACCGGCAAAAAATATTTTTTTTTGTGTGTTTATTTTTATGGGACTAAAAAAATGACAGAACAGCTCCCCCTACAAAAGTTAGTTTACATTGCGCCTATAGGAGCGGGTCAGAGGTCAAGTTTGTCGTAGAGCCACGAAATTCGGTACACATGTTCCTCAAGACAAGACATGAAAAAACGTTTTTATGGCCCCGCCCCCTGACAAACAGGGAGCTCATTAATTTAAATGGGAAATGGAAAAATGAAAATGTATCTTTTTCACACATGTCGGTTGGAAATCATCTCCTCCTCGGCCGTTTCACCGATTTGTCTCAAAATCGCTCCACATGGTCTAAACACATGTCCCATCAATAGTTGAATATAGAATTTGAATCAGTTAAACTTTGTCCAAGCAGCGGAGCGGCAAAATGGGACTTTTTTCTTCTTTTTTTTTTGACAACAGCAAATTTGCTTCCATTTGCACAAACAAAGTCCGATTTGCACAACATTTTAATCCATTGATCAGCTCCAGGGTCTAGGTCATTTGAAAGTGGAAATATTTAAATTGGCTCATTAGCGCCCCCTACAGACTATGTCAAAGTTTTAGATGGGCCTAATAAAATTTAGTTTTTTCAAAATGTTTGAAATTTTGCACATAATTCTGTTTTGTCATCTGGATTCAAAAAGTCAATGACAAGATATGATTATTTTTTACCCTGTTGCCGTGGCGACAACAAACACTCCTCTGGTTGTGTCTATGGGAAAATCATTATATCTCTGAAAAGTACACCTCGCTCAAACATCAAACCAGCCGCGGCCGTTTCACTCATTTGGCTGACATTCGCTCCACATCGTCTCAACACATGGACCATCAATAGTTGAATAAAGAATTTGAATTAGTCAAACGGTCTGCGCGTGACAGACTCCCAAAGTGTGGTTATTTTCATAGAGAGGTGTGAAGTTCCCATGTTATCCAATGGAGACTGTATGGACACACTCACAGATTGTATGTGTAAACAGGAGCACATTTACAAACTCTGATTTGGTTGTTCAACTCCTGGGTCTAGGTCACATGACAGTGTGAACAATGACCTTGGCCCATTAGCGCCCCCTACAGGCCGAGTGAAGGTTTACATGGTAATAAAGGTATTTAGGTTTTCTGTAGTTTGATCTTATATTTGACCCACTGAACAAACACGAAAACTCACCAAACTTTGCCTCAAGTTTTTTTCAGGCATCAAGTATATTATTTTGGTGTAACACTAAAAAATTGAAATTGTAGGGGGCGCTATTTTTCAACATAAATGCCTTCCGTTTGCACATACAAAGTCCGATTTGCACAACATTTTAATTGATTGTTCAACTCTCGGGTTTGGGTAAACTGAAAGTGTAAAAGACGAAATTGCAGCAATAGCGCCCCCTACTGACTGAGTCAAGTATTACATGGGGAGAATGACGTTTACCTTTTCAAGGACGCACACAATCACTGATCATAGGCATTCAAAATGCACGGTGTCGCTCCCATCAGGGCGGTAGGAAAATGACTCACCTCAGTTGCGTTGTGCGGCGAGGGCCGTTCGACGCCGCTTGCGGCTTTAATTTTATTTGATTTTGAGGACCCCTTCGGACACAAGATGATTCATCTCAAGCGGTTCAACGTTTATTAAGAGGATGATTCCTCTTAATTAGGGCTGGGCGATATGGCAAAAAAAAAAAATCTCCGATTTTTTCACACCAAATCCGATTTTCGATTTTAATCGATTTATTTTTTTCTATTTAAAAACAAACTACAACTGACAAAGAAATAGATTTTCCTTTATGCAGTTTAATCTAAATCCCCATGGAGCATAAGTGTAACAGGAATTAAGCCTTAAAACATGCTTGTAAACGAGATGGCTCTGCCATTGTAAACAGTGAAAATGTAGCTTAACAGTTTTATAATAACTTCACTTACAATGACACTATGCACCTTCAAAATAACTTAAATCACACAAACAAGGCCCATCGCAAATATATCAATCCTATTAAACACATGCATTATTTACATGAAATATCACATTTTTAAAACTGATTACTCAAAATAGAAATGTTGTAACAGACAGTATTTTCCAAAAGCCTCCTCGGGTTTTCATGCTTGTTCTTTCAACTGTGCCTGAGTAACTGTGCTGTAGTACAACGCTCGGTCCCAGCTGGTGGCGCTAATACTAACTTCAGTGACTCCCGCATTGTGCGAGCTTCCTGTTTACATTCTGATGCTGTAGCTAGCAGCTACTGTAGCTAGCAGACAGCGGGGAACACGTTGTTTGTATCAGAGCAATGAGAGCAATGTGTGAGACGTGTCTTTCCCCAAAGTGCAGCGGCTCAGTGGGACACGAGTGTGTGCGCGCCACGGACACGGGAGTGCGCTTTGGAATAACGAGCGTGAGAGAGCGTGAAAGATGTGGCGTACGACCGGAGCCTGTGTGTGTGTGTTTTGGCGATTAAATAAAGTCTGATTCTTGAACGTTTGAAGTGTTATTGCAACAGCACCAACTGTGAGAGCGAGCATAAGGCCAGAGGGAGACTGTTAGCATTAGGTTAGCTTCAAAATGACTGCTCAACACCATAGACCCGCGGTTAGCGCGTTAGCGCTGTAGTTCTGCGATGGAGAAAATAAAAATCGAATTTTTAAAAAAAGAAATCGCCCTAAACGTAAAACTCGAATTAATGATTAAAATCGATTAATCACCCAGCCCTACTCTTAATAAACGTTAAGTAAATAAATAAATTAATCATGGACCACACGGTAGCGCAGTGATCAGCGCTTGTGATTCACAGCAAGAAGGTCCTGGGTTCTATCCAGGGACGTGCAGTCAGGGGAGGCAGGGGAGGCAGAGCCTCACCTGCCATTATTGGAAACTAATAATTATTTTAGTTTAAATATATAATTTATATCCACTGTCCTATGCTTTTAATGTATATTCGGCACGGTTCCCATCAGTTTTGATCATTTCTGAAGTCAAAATCGCCGAAATCCCGTTATTCCTATTCAAAGAGACGAGGTGAGGCAGCGCTCCTGCGTGCCTCACCCCAGACCGCTCCCTCACAGTGTGTGTGTGTGTGTCTGAGTGCACTCAGCTCGTGCAGTTGATATATCACCGTTTGTTTCAAATATCCTGCTTTAAAAACATTTTTTAAACTCCTCTTAGTGTTTAGTAGTGTATTGCACGTATGTGTGTACAATTTATATTTAGTTTAAGTCTTTTGATCGTAGATGAACACACAAGGAAAAAGCTTGGCGTGAGGCAGGCGGTATCTGTGCCTCACCGCTAGGGGTGATAGTGAGCATAAAGTTCATACCAGAGTTGCTAACAAACAATCAGCCCAAAATGCTATTTCTTTTGCTGGAAAATGGATGATTTGAATGAAGATTTTTTTTCTCAATTGGACTTTCAAACAAAGAAAGAATTAATATAGACTGGGAGACCACCACTGGACTTACGAGGTTAGTCCGGCTGCGGGGGAGGAGTTTGTTAATCTGTGTTTTATGTTGAACATTGACAGATACCGGCAAAGTAGTGCTTTTCCGAAAAACACTGATTCAAACACTGCTCAAGAGTTCTGCAACTTGTTTAAATTATTGTTTATGTTCCTCGCGTCTCTCTCTCCTCGCGTCTCTCTCTCCTCGCGTCTCCGTCTCTCTCTGCTCCTCGCGTCTCCGTCTCTCTCTGCTCCTCTCTGTCTCTCTCTGCTCCTCTCTCCTCGCGTCTCTCGCACCTGCGCTTCTTAAAGATGTTGTTTGATGCGGAGCAGAGTCAGCAGCTAGATTTGTTGTGAGATTATTAAAAGAAGCTGGTTCTCTTATCTTTACAGTATATAAAGTTTGTGGATGTCATTGCATTGGTGATTAAATGCTATTTTATTTGAATAATGATTGTAAATCTGACTTTTAAAGTCAGTGCCTCCCCAATCACAAACCTCACCGCACGTCCCTGGTTCTATCCCACCTCTATGTGTGATCCAGTAAAATCATGCTCCCATCTCTGTGGAGTTAGAGACAGATGTCACAACAATTGAAAAGTGCTTTGTGACTCTGGTCTGAAAAAGACGCTGTATAAATGCAAATTACTTACTTAGTTACTTCTATTAAAAGTGCAAAAAATTTTAATTAAAAATGACATTACATTAAGCAAGCTTAAAATACATTTCCGTTTCAGGGCTTGCGGCCGATTGATTCTCATGCGAAACAAGAATTAGATTTCCCTGATATTTATGTTTCAAGTTTCAGTTTTTCAGATTTTTGAGACAGAACAAAGTCAGGACATGGTTTATATAGTCATTCGATACGTCGCACATAGAAAGACATACAGTACGTGTCGCATCAAGAGACAATCAGAACATATTAGAGTCATAACATGGATACACAATGGAATCCCTATGACTTTGCGGGCCAGATATTTTGTCTTGTGTTTATCCACCTGCGTAGGCTACAGCTATCTATCCACCATAGTCTAACTCCAGATGTCTTTCTGTTATGTATTCTTTATGTTATCACTAAGGGAATGGCGCAGGTGGTGTTATGACAGGGCGTGGATCTCCTCTAGTTTGACTATCAGTGGCGACAAAGCAGACATCCTGTGCATCTTTTTTCAGACATAAGAGGGGTAGGGGAAAGCGGGGGAGGAGGGGCAAAGGGGGATTTTTGGGTAATGAATTGGGATTTGGGGGTTGGACAAGGGAGGTGGATGGGTTTTTGGTATTGGGGTAGGGGAGGGAAAGGCTGAGGCGGATTTTGTGGGTTAGTCAGGAGTCGGATTCCCTTGGTGGCTTTGGAGGCACGTATAAGGAATAGTTATGAATGTAAGAGAGGACTCTAGAACTTCACAAGTTGATTGAATTTAAAATCTGTATAAAAACGGAATCTTCTCCTTAGAACGGAAACCTTTCAATCGTCCTGCATGACGCCGCGATCTTGGACAGTGGGCGGTACGAGTGCCACACGTTCAGCCTATCACAGGCCAGGAAGAAACGCTCTGTGTACAACAGCGAGCCAATCAGAACTTTTGATCTAAAAGTGCTCTCAGCAGGTAAGAGAGAACAGCCAACAAGAAAGAGCGTCTGATACCTTTTAGCATTCAAAATATGTGTATCAGCATAAATCAATAATCTCAAAGTTGTCTGGTCTCTCCCTCTCTGGTCTCACTTTGGTCTCTCTTGTGTCCCAGATGTTGAGAAAATCCCTGTGATGCCTGGAGAGGACGTGGTCCTCAAGATGGGGTCGCTGGACTTCCCTGTGACGTCTTTCGTTTGGAAACGAGCTGATGATCCAGAGCACTATGTGTTTATGTACGGCAGGGATCACCCTCACCCTCACCACCAGCACCCACTGTACCAAGACCGGATCCACTTTGAGAATCAGACCCAAGGCCCAGTCCATGACATGTCTGTGGTCCTTCGCCGCGTCCAGCCCAGCGACAGCGGGACGTACCACTGCATCATCCTCCAGTCTCTGCGGCGTCTGAAGAGAGACCTGCACGTGTCCGAACCTCAAAAGGTCATCGTCCTGGAGGTGGCAAGTGAGTGACGTCATAGTAACTATAACCAATGCTAACAGACTATATACTGTTGTCAAAAATGATTTGACTGACGTGTTCAGAATTTGGTACAGAAATAAGGCCAAGATTTCAAGAGTTACAATAGAACATTTATTTCTCTTTACAATTAAATGTTGATACAGAACTTCTGGAGCTATTCCCTAAATCTATCCCTGTGCTCAGACTCCCCACAATGTGTCCTCCCAACGGTTTTATCAGAATGTCCGATGACGTCACATGGTCTGAGGCTGGTCCCAGTCTGGGCCAGTCCAGTTTTGTGTCTCAGGCCTTGTCTCCGTTAAGAGAGACACGCTGTTCCTGAAAATGATACTTTTATCACAGAAGCCTTGTCCTTGGTGCTTGTCTGAATTCCACTAAATCCAGGCTTAATATTGCACAAAGACATGTTTGCAAACACTTACTGGAAATCATTAGTATACAACATTATAATTCTACAACAATCCCTCTCTTGACCTATCATAAATAGGTCACATCCACGTTCACATCCATCCGTGACATCATGAGTGACAGCATCCATGCTTCTTTAGGTCAGGCAGGACACCTGTGAAGACGTTAATTCAGAGAAAACACAACTAACAACCACATTTGAAACATTCCTTTACAAATCACATTACTGATTCTTCATCAACCTCGTCTGTAATGTATGCACTAAAGCTATTCACTATTGTTTAAAACTATTCTAATCTATTTACAAATATTTTTGCATGTTTGCATATACTGAGCTATATTCTTAAACATATGTTTTAATCAAATAAATTTCTCTATACTGTGGTTTGCTTTCATTATCAGTGGCTTTGTGCCAGTGGGATTTTGCTCCATGTCTATTCTACATTCTCTAATCTGTGCTGACAAATCGACAGCTTTTAAAATTCTCAAAAATATCTAAATATCTACTTTTGTGCTATACCCAAATACATCAAAATGCTTTTAAATGTTTTTGAATCTCTGTTGGTTCTACTCTATCTCATTAATCTAAGCTACATTAGTCTAGGCTATACTCATGAACTTTTGCATTGTCAACATTCACCAATGTTTGAAACAAGTGAATTTGACAAGTATTTAATAAAACTGTAATGAACTTTATCTACTTTTGAAGTAAATGCTTGTGAAATGGTCCCTTTACCATTTGATATTAGCACTGGCTAAAAATAATCTCTATTTTTGAAAGCATCTATGGTTGATGCATTTATCTATTTCTACACTATTGTGACTCCAAAGCTCGGTTGCAGCTTGAGCCAAGGCATATTTCTAATTTGTGACTTCTGTCACTTTCAATGGCTGTAAAATAATTCTGATTCTAACAATTTAGCTGCTCTATCAGAAGGATCACATTGTATGGTACTATTTTAACTCTTACGTTGAAATGTGTTTATGAACAATGATCAAATTCTACTTTTTTTACTACTATTTAACATCTACTAAAACGCTAAAATACTCATACCTTATCATTTTAAAACCTTTTAACAGTTGCTCAGTTTCCCAGACTAAAAAGTCAAAGTTTTTGTCTGTCAGATGTCTGAATACTTAACTTTTATTGCATTTGGTCACAGTTGTGGTTCTAGTTGTAGCAATAGCATGGGCAATAGAGGATTTTTCATTGGCTGGTTCTTGTTCTGCAAATCACTATTTTATGTATTGTATTTCAGACAATTCAAAAGCAACACAGTAGTTTTCAAATATAAAAGACATAAATCTAAATCAAGTTGCCTGAAAGAGAGCGGGAAGAAGAGAACTAATTAAAAAACGTTATCTACGATTATATGTAGGATTGGAGATCGTTTGCAATTTTCCGATTCCGGTTCCGATTCTCACTATCGATTCCTGTTCTAAACGATTCTCGATTCCGATTCTTTGAGGTGCAGGAGAGAAAAAAAAAAGATAATTTTTTATCAAATTTTATTTCATTAGTACTTTTCCTGCCAAAAGGCAACAGAAAGTGCTTTACATAAAAACAAATTAAATTAAAAAACAAGGAACACGAACACACACACACACACACACACACACACACACACAAGCGGTGTTTATGTGGCACCGCCCACCATCATCTCAGAGCGGCTGAAATGTAAACACGTCTCTGTAAACCGCTGAAAACGGCTAAAGTGAGAATACTGGAGGATTATCGTTGGACGGACTGACAGATTTGACCAAAGCACAAGGACTCGTGCATCGTGCATCGTGTTTTCGGAGTTTTTTACGGATTATTACATGGAGGAGGAGCAGGACTTTTTGCGGTCCTCGGCAGGTGGACAGCGTGTTTCCCTTCTTCATCATTACAAAGGGCCTGACCAGTAACTTTAAGGTAAGGAACATCAGGTTTGGATGTGTTTGTAAAGCGAGTGATGAAACTGATGTAGCGTGAGTTTGGGGAAAACTAAAGCCCTGGCTTTATTACGCTGGGTGGACAGCTGCTAAGCATTTTTGAAACGTGTCCCCCCCCCCACCTTCCAAATGCTTCCGACGCCGCTGTGCGGGCCGCATCCGGCATTTAGGAATCGAAAAAAGAATCAAAATACAAACGTCTTCTTAACGGTTCCGGAACCGCACTTTAGGAACCGGTTCCAAATAGGAACCGGTTCTCGGTGCCCAACCCTAATTATATGGCTATGAAATAATTTTTTTTATAAACATTCATGGCTTCTGTCCGCTGCTTATAACTGTTTAAAGTGTTGTCCCAAACTTAATATGTGTAAATACATCAGCTGTTTGTAATAAACAATAACATTTGACCTGTTCTCCAATGGAGCAGCTCAGAGGCTGCATCAAGAGCAATGTTATATTTGAGCTATTTTTAGATTTAAAAGTTGTTAAAGCCTGTCGTTCTATGCCTGCATTTTAATACTACTCTCTATAAACACATCTGCACTAGATCCTACAGATGTGGAAAACAGAAGCATCTAAAATATGACTCCATTTGATTCCTTTTTACTTTAGTTATTAGAATAATTTGACATTATTGATATTTATTTTCACAATAAAACTGTTTTGATTATTCACTAGTCTAACTATTATTACTATTGTTTATTCTGACACCTCTTTTTAGCGACACTTTAACCTATAGCTCCAGACTATTTCATTCTATTCTATTCATCTTATTATTATATGATCTATTATCTTAAAGAGTAGATCTGTTTGATGTGTGCATTATAAGCGCTATTATTTCTCCTTTTGAATTTGCACAACAATAAAATTAGAATGACCCACTGTGGGACAAATAAAGATTTTTATTTTATTTCGGCAACTCCAAAAATTAATTAATGATTTTCCATTTTGCTTTTAGGCTGCCCTTTCCATTATTTATTTGTTCTCGTGGACCATGACCATTTATGACAATAACATTACAATACTCCCTCTCTTGGTCGTGGGCCAAGTGTAAATGTAAGCGTAGATTACTGTTCCAATTATATCCAGCTGGCCGTTCCCAGGTCGTCCTCAGTCCATGTTGTGGTTTATACCAAAAGAGGGGCTCGCCCCCTTTCCTCTTATGATCCATACTACTGTGTTATCACAGCGGCAGGTGAAGTTTGTAGTTTATCTTTAATCTGAAAAGAAACATTAGAACACAAAAATGCCCACTAATCCCACTTCCCTGACCCTAGCATGGTGCGGCAGGGGCTGTAGCCAAATACAGACTTAACCAAATGTATGTTTCTAATTTATTCTGCACCAAATGTGAGTTACAAACCAGAGTTGTCCTCCAACCAACGACAGTTCACTGCGCCTGGACTGTGTCACTGTCAGCACGAGCAGCAGAGGGGGGGACTCCCAGTACTTTCAGCACAGTACTCCCAGTGCAGTACTTATCAACACAGTACTCCCAGTACAGTACTTATCAGCACAGTACTTTCAGCAGAGTACTCTCGTTTTTGCACCTGTTCAATAAAGTTTGTTATCTTTAAATTTCCAGTGCTTAGACTGTTTGCTGTTGACAAAAATAATTATTCAATGATCACATTAAAACATTAAAGAAAAACATTTGTTATTCCATTCCTCCATCACTTGTTCAGCACTCCTCACTCACTGACCACACACTGACCACACACTGACCACACACTAACCACTCACTGACCACACACTGACCACACACTGACCACACACTGACCACACACTAACCACACACTGACCACACACTGACCACACACTGACCACTCACTGACCACACACTGACCACACACTGACCACTCACTGCCACTCACTGACCACACACTGACCACACACTGACCACACACTGACCACACACTGACCACACACTAACCACTCACTGACCACACACTGACCACACACTGACCACACACTGACCACACACTAACCACTCACTGACCACACACTGACCACACACTGACCACACACTAACCACTCACTGACCACACACTGACCACACACTGACCACACACTGACCACACACTAACCACTCACTGACCACACACTGACCACACACTGACCACACACTGACCACTCACTGACCACACACTGACCACACACTAACCACTCACTGACCACACACTGACCACACACTGGACCACACACTGACCACACACTGACCACACACTGACCACTCACTGACCACACACTGACCACACACTAACCACTCACTGACCACACACTGACCACACACTGACCACTCACTGACCACTCACTGACCACACACTGACCACACACTGACCACACACTGACCACACACTGCCACACACTAACCACTCACTGACCACACACTGACCACACACTGACCACACACTGACCACACACTAACCACTCACTGACCACACACTGACCACACACTGACCACACACTGACCACACACTAACCACTCACTGACCACACACTGACCACACACTGACCACACACTAACCACTCACTGACCACACACTGACCACACACTGACCACACACTGACCACACACTGACCACACACTGACCACACACTGACCACTCACTGACCACACACTGACCACACACTGACCA